GTTTTCACCCTGACAGACTGCTGAGAGAGCAGCGTCCATCACGAGCCTCCACACAAACTATCTTTATCTATAGAATATAAAAACTAAAGAAGTTCTCCGAGCTCAGACTTTCATCTTTAAATGTTTTGTCCAAAACTCAAAGATTTTTAAATTACAGTGATGAAGAGAAACGCAACAAGACTGTGAAACAATCGATTCACTGAAACCAGTCTGGGTTTCCCAGAGAACCCTGTCAGTCCTGAGTGAGCTCAGGTTCTGATTCACGGCTAAAAACTGAACTAAATCTGGTTCAAAACCACAAGTTTTTAAACGTAGTTTCAGCAGAATCTCAACGAGTGTATCCTCAGAATGAAACACGTCCGATAAATGAGGCGTGAACCTGATCTATGACGACGAGCTGTGAGATTAAAGTTTCAGATTCAGACCTGTTGATGTCGCCATCTTAAAGGTTCATATTTTACACTTCCTGTCTTTTATTTTGAAGTGTTGATCCATGAGAAGATATATTACCATGTATACCATCTTAGTGTACTTTCAGAAATGAATCAAAATAATATTTAGATCAATTCACAGTATTAATATAGAAGTTGCTTTATAATCAGAGAAGACAAGGACATCTACCGTCAGACTATATGGGACCTTTAAAAGGCCACACTCACTGAATATTTAATTACTGAGCTGCTGCAGTGAAAGGACTTTAGCTGCATCTACATTTAAATCCTCAGTCCGACCCAGAAAGACTTAAAACAGCTGTAAACATGATCTCAGTCCACCTTAACAGGTGACCAGCTCCGTGCTGTTCTGCCCTGTAACTAAGGTTTAGCATTGGTGTATTAAGGTGTATTAAATGTTTATATGTAAAACTAAACGTTCAGATGTCGACTTGTTTGACTCATGAAGGATAATGATGCAAATGAATCTTCTCCGCGCTGATCACTTGACATCGACCTCCGCTGCGTCTGAGCGGCGAGGATAATCCTCAGATCTGTGTGATACCAAGGTGATGAGGTGGGACGAGCTCTGGATAACAGCAGCTGTTTCACAATAACTCTTCTGTCTGCACCAGCTTTCAAACAGAAAGAAGAAAAGGAGCAGCAGCAGTTTCCTCTCAGGTGTCTCAGACCTGCAGCGGCACGTTTGAGGACTTCTAGGAACCGTCTCCTTCCAGTTGACGAGTCACTCTTGCGTAAACGTCGCCCTCCTGCAATAAAAGCTCCTTCTCTTTTTCACACCGACTTAATCCTGCTGCTCAGTATGACTGAACATCCCCCAGCCAGGTCTCTGCCCCCCCCCCCCCCGTCCACCAACGGCCCTGAGGGAGCCACTCAGGAATACCAATGATGTTTGTTCCCATGGAGGAGAAACTAAAGGCAGAGGAGTCAGAGCAGGATCCTGAACGCACCTCAGCGCGTCTGCGACTCTGAGGAGTGATGTCAGGAAGTCTGTGAAGTCTTCAGCATCACTCCACGACAGTCTGAAGACGCCACGTTTACTGCCACTAGAGCCGCCGTGATAGGACACCTTAGTGAAGTCAGACTGCTGTTGGCCTTAGCAACGGTATCTATGGTAACAAGGCCTATGATGACAAACAATGAATATGTAATTAAAAGTTAATTTGGATATTCCAATTGAAGAATCACATGATCAGATCCAGATTGTAACTACTCATGATTTTAACCTGAAGAACCAGAGTCCTCATTAAAATCTGATCTATCAATTGATCAATCGATCAGATGACATCACATCCTCCTCTCGTTTGTGCAAATCCAAAAAACAACAACAACAAGAAAAAGATAGAAGAGGAAAAGACAGAAGCCATCTGCAAAGCTGTAGATTGTGTTGTATATGCTAGCTGCTTAGCCGCTTCCTCATTGGTTTACTTGTTTCCACCCACATGCCTCGTCCAATCAGAGGTGGTGGTTTGGCCGATGAGATCACAATGAGTCTTGGGTAAATTTACACATGTACTTTCACAAGGTCGAGCTCTATCCGATCTCCCAAGATATTCAGTCCTCCAGTCCTAAGGCCACATACCTGTACCATACCTGTACAATACCTGTACAATACCTGTACCATACCTGTACAATACCTGCCAAACAAAGAACCAGCGAGGACGTCATCATGAGAAGAACCAATTTACCACCAGAACTCCATCGTTACAGCCACTAATTTAATTTAATTTTACCTTTAAATGTGATTTTATTCACATTACGTGTCAGAAACAAATCAACAACAACCTTCTCTTGACGTCTGACTCATGAAAACCGATCGAAGCCGATCAATGTTTGCAATCAACAACACTGAACTAATTACACATAGACGCACGTGCGGGAATAACCCATGATCCTCTCTGTTGGCCCTCACACGGCCCGGCCCGTGTGATCACACAGCAGGTGGGTCGATGACACTCGCAGCGTTTCCAACGTGAGGAGCTGTGCTGATCAGCCGCCCAGTGATTCTGTCTGCGACCTCTGCGCTCGCTCCGAGGTCGCACACGTCCTCGTCAGGATTTCTCCACTTCCTGATCAGTTGATATCAATGAAATTATGATTATATTTGAGTTTATTTGAGTCCAGGAAACTGTGACGGACCAGTTCTCTGTTTTAATTCATCTTTTTATCTCAATGAATAATCAATAGGCTCATCGATAACAGTGATAATCTACTATAGTCTACACAGCTGATCATTATTTTGATTCAGTTCATTCTTTCATATTTACAGTGAGGTTAAAGAGAGAAAAGCAGGAAGTGACTGTTGAAATAATCTAAACTACTTCCTGTTTGTTTAGTTTAAATCCTGAATGTGGGCGGAGACTCCAGACTCTCCTCAGGCGGCCTGGTCCACCTCCCTGCACCTGTCAGCTCCAACAACAGGCTCTATTTCTTTGAACAAACATCTGGCTCTCAGCAGCCTGCGGGTCTCCGCTCGCTGTTTGAGACCACACGCTAATTATCTGGACCCTGAACGCCTCGGAGGAAACAACGCTTCCTGCAGCTTCTCAGATTTCTGCCTCTGCATAACACGGCACCTAAACGCAACACAAGAGAGAGAGATCACGACCTGTGTGTGTTTTCACCGCACGACAAATCTGTGCAATCTGGGAATATGACACACACCGTGATGCATTCAGGTTCTTGTTTTGCACAAGATGAGAGCACAAATGAGGCATTTGGCCGTCATGTTTTCTTGGTTTGAGTCCAACCTGCTGTTTATATCAGATCACAGTGACAAGAGAACAAACTCATCCTCGACTCAGACAGCGAGGAGGAGGAGGAGGGGGGGGGGGGGGGGGGGGGGGGGGGGGGGTGAGCAGCACCATGCCGGAGATGTTGACCCACTAGCAGAATCCGAGGCGACGTGTTGTGGCATTTTTCATTCCCCCGGCGGGCCGCAGAGCTCGAGCTGCGCCGCCTGACTGCGCTGATAAGACGGCGGCCTGACACAGTGAATACACAAAGAAGCAGCACAGCCGGTTCAGGGTCTGCAGGGTTTCTGTCAGACCGCACAAACGCACCGTTTCATAACTTCAACACAACGATTATTCCTGAGCTGAAATGCTGAAATATTCCAACGCTGTTTGTTGAATTTCAAAACTGAAGCATCTGTGGAAAGAAAGGGAGAAATGCTGCCTTGAAATGACACAGGTGTATTTTTCAGTATGCAAGGTTAAATGCGCTCTGAGCGAGATGTTCAAGTGGTTTACAATAAAAATGGACACGGCCACTAATAAAAAACACTTGAGTGAAGCATTTCTTTTTTTAAAAAAGGAAGTTGACTTTCTCTTTTCAGAAACAGTCTTTGTCGATTTAGGAGCAAGAAAAGGTTGAAAAACCACAAGTCTTCATCTAAACATGGGAAAAACAATGCACTTGAAGGCACCACAACACCAGTCTGCATCACTCAACACCTGGACATGACAGGAAAATCCAATCATACATGTCCAGGTCTCGTCTCCGACACCAGGCGGTCACACAAACATAATCTGATTTCAACACTTCCTGCTTTCAAAATTCAGCCAATCCTGCGTCAGCGTTCGGAGCCTGGGGATGATCAAATATAATGTCATCTTGACAGCACCAAAATGTGTATTACTGTCGCAATTAATAGTGCAAATAATTGTGATAATAAACTGTGTCAGTCACTTTAGGATCCGTCCTCCATCGTCTCATCGCTCTTCTCTCTAATTAACAAATTAAAGATGAAGATCCAGCTGGTCGAGCAGGGAGGACCTCCAAGCCTCTCACACATTTCCATCAGCCAGAAATAGAAACACGTTAAAAGCCTCAGACTCCAGGTTCATCCAGGACCTTTTCAAGTTCATCTCGTTAACTCCAGCTCAACCCAGATCGATATGGATTTTAATTCTGTCAATCAATTTAAATATAAAAGATCATAAAATACTGAAAATAAATTTCCATAAATCACTTTTTGATATTCCATTTACAAAGATATTAAACACAGAAGCAGCAAATTGTCACATTTAAGATGCTGAAATTAGAGTATTGGTATTTTTTGTTGATTGATTGGCTCATGATTAATTGATAAATCCAGATTAATCAATTAATCAATTAAAACAGCCGATTATTACTCCTACACTCTTGAATATTAGGAACCTAGGATTAAAACAGTGTGTTTGAGACCCCTTCAGGGACCGCTGGGACAGCTCAAACTCCACCACTGGTCAAACACATAACGGACAAACTCTCTCTTTGGTAAACACAGCATCCGTTCATCCATCCATCAGTGCATTCATCCGTTCATCCATCCATCTGCTGTAATCAGAAGCAATTGACTCTGACTCAATGATCGACCCATCCGGGTCAGACACCACCGACCTCAGCATCCATCACACGAAGCCTCCTCACCTCCATTTACACCGCAGTATTCCGTCTTTTACCCCCGATTTCACCGTGTTTCACAGCAGGTGTGTGTGTGTGCGCGTGCGTGTGCGTGTATCTGAGACAAAAGAGACGCACCGTGCGCGTCAATCGGCCACTCACCGTCATCCCCGGCAGGTTGACGCGCCTCGGCTTCGTTCACATGACGGTAAAAGGAGCCTCCAGAACCAGAAACACCGACCATTTCCAACGCTGCCGTCCCCGACCTGGGTGTGCTTCCGTCGGTGTGGAGCTCCCTCTCTCCCCGGCAGCCTGCAGGGCGCTGGATCCCGACCTCACTCAGTCCTCCATGGGGGCTGAAAAAAGGAGGACACAGGAGCCGGGCTCAAATGAAGAATAACCCGGGTTACATTCCGGACATGGAGCAGGAGTGTGTGTGTGTGTGTGTGTGTGTGTGTTTGTGTGTGTGTGTGAATGTGAGGCAAGGCTCCGGTCTGGATGGAGGGATGGAGGGAGGATATGGAGCCTCTCTCGGGGACGTAGTGCGTCGGGTGAACGCGGTGGCCTCCGCTGCAAGAAGTAACGAGTCCGGACTCGTTAAAGCCAAAATCTGCATCACAATCACTGTGTTGTTGTCCCGCAGCGCCGCCTGCAGGCCGAGACCTTAAACACACCCTGAAACACACTGACGGTTATTACAGTTAGAACCCATTTCATTTACTTTTACATTTCACCCACTTTTTAATATATTTCTAAATGTATTATTGTATCAGTATTTCATATACAAACTATAATATGCAGTTTAACTTTTACCACTTTGAGCTACTTTATTTTATTTGCATTTATTCCTACTTTATTTATTTACTTGAAAGCACCAGCAACAATGTGAAAAACTCCCATTAAAAGCATTTAAAACCCTACTTTAGTAAAAGGACTTACTTAAAGCCTTAAAAGTAGATGCACTCATCTTAGTCCGGTGGTTTCCAACCTGGGGCTCGGGCCCCTCCACAGGGTCACCAGATAAATGTGAGGGGCCGTGATGATGATTCTCTCTGATGTTGCGTCGCTGGTGCCTCCAGGTGTTTAATGCAGAGCGGAAACTGCGTTGAATCTTTTACGAGGTTTAGTATTTTATAGACTTTAACTGTAAATATAGTGGAGTCAAAAAGTACAATATTTTCCTGTTGTGGAATTGAAGTATTAAGTGGCATAACATGGAAATACTCACGTAAAATACTCACAAATACTTCAAAATTATCTTAGAATACAGTACCTGAATAAATTTACTAAACTTAAAGTATTAAAAATGAGACTATTACTATTAAAATGTCACTTATACATGAATTCATCAGTATTAAAAATGAAATAATATAATATATAATAAGATCAGACTTTAGGATCGGAGCATCAGCTCCATAGATCTAAATGTAGCAGGTGCCAAAATCACTGTTGTTACCTGTGCAGATGAAAATAAAGTCACTTGGATGGGAGTTTTTTGCAGTGGGCGGGGCAGCAGCAGCAGAGTCAGGCCAAACCGGAGTGAGAGCACAGGAAGTGGAGTTATTTACCCTTCAAAATAAGACTGACTCATCTGGGATTTGACTGTGTGTTGTGATACAGCTTGTCTTGTCTTTACTGTTGCACTAAGGTCCAGCAGGATTCACAGTCATTTACACATCTGCTGCAGCTGGACCACATCATCACAGCTGCCCTGAGAGGCTGGATTATCAGCTGGCAACTGCCCCTGGACCCTAAGAAAAGCTTGTCTGGAAGAAGGGCCAAAATCTAGACAAAAAACACTGAAAATGTACATTTATTTTATTCATTTATATTTATATTTGTTCAGCATTAAACATATCAAGAGCTCCATTACATACTAACATATATTGTAGAAAATTTGAATTCACATAGTTAGAAAAACGACATCTGCAGGAACATTAAAGTGATTTATCAAATATTTCAGTCACACTTTGTTACGAACATGAGGAGAAACATATTTTATAGGTTGGTTTTTTTGTAACTTAAAGAAGTGAAAGCTTAAAGTTAAATCACAGTTTTGTGTTAATGAGGGATGTTTGCAGTTTTAGCTGCTGGTTCAACTTTTCCACTGACTCCAGTTCAGCATGTAAACATTCTTTCCCGCCCTGACTTGTGTCCTTCCTGTTTCCTGGTTCTGCCTTCTTTTCCTTCCCTCCTCCTTAAAACTAGATTTTATGTTCAATGTGAAACAGAAACTTTCTGCTGAACGTGACGTGATTCATGAGGTTTTTTCAATAAAAGTGAATAAAAGCAGAAAAATGTCTCCTTATTAAAGGTATTAAAAGTTAAAGACAGGCTGCAGTTCCACCTCACTGTCAGAGGGGGGCAGTGTGGACCCTGTGTCCTCTCGACACCTTTTTGCCCTGGAAACCACAGCTGTCACCTCAGACAGATCACATGGGTTTGTGAAATCTCAAAGTGGTAAAAAAACATGTTTGTGCAAAGTGCACGGAGTCAGCAAGTTCTCATCTACATGTGCAGGGACACACACACACACACGCACACACACGCACACACACGCACGCACACACACACACGCACACACGCACACACACACACGCACACACACACACGCACACACGCACTGTATGCAGCTGCTTACTCTACAAACATTGCAGTAAATATGATTATTTACTTATTTAAGTTCAAAGTTCAACAATCAAATAAAAAAGGCTGAGAATGTGTGTGTGTGTGTGTGTGTGTGTGTGTGTGTGTGTGTGTGTGTGTGTGTGCCGTGAAGCCAGCCAACATCATTACTCTGCAGGAACCAGAACCTCCACTCCTCGTCTTTGTCTTGGAAACTCTGGAACAGATTAAAACTAAATCACGTCACGCAGGAAAAGAAAACTGTAAAACTTCAGAGCTGCTTTTATTCAACAGTTTGCATAAGAAATTTAATATTTTAGATTCTCTACTACTGATCTAAAAGTCTATTCATTTATCACTTGAGCAAGTTTAGGAGGGAAATAATTTTTGTCATTGTCAAATTTTCAGCAATTTGTGTTCTTGTCTGATAGTTACACTGTGGTGTTATTGGTGCAATAATAACAACAGGTGTGTTAAACACCACTGCTGCAGGTGGACAAACAAACACCAGACATCTTCATCCCTCTTTACACCTGATGCTCAGTGTTTAAATGGGTGATTTGATCGTGCTGACATCTGCAGATAAAACACTTCAGCTCGAGTCTTTCGCTTCAACACCTCCACAATTACAAAAGAGCAGAACGGTTTAGTCTGAGGTCAGGCTGTGATTGGCTGCTGCCTGGGGGAGGAGTCTTAGTGTCAGCACCTGCGCTGCCCTCATCAGGCTCTGGGCAGGAAGCGCAGGTTGATGGGCTTCGAAGGGATCATCAGGATTCGGGTTTTCGGCTCCACAGCCGGGGCGCCGTCCTCCGGCTGGACGTCGTAGTGCTGCATCAGCTGCAGGGCGACACATGCACTGATGAGAGGCTCGTTTCCTCAGCGAGTTCATTACTGAAATTTAACGTTAGTCTGTAATTCAACAGCAAGATTTCAGAGCGTGTTTGTCTCTCACCCTGCACAGAGCGAAGTACATCTCCATCTCCGCCACCCTCTTCCCCACGCAGGCTCGCACGCCGACGCCGAACGGGATGAAGCTGTACGGGTGGTGCTGGTAGAAGCCGGGCGTCGGTCTGGCCGTCTCGCGGAGCCAACGCTCCGGGATGAAGCTCTCTGCGTCGACAAACTCTGCCTCATCGTGACAGACGGCGTAATGACACAGATGGAACTGAGTCTGAAGAGAAAGAACCATCACAAAGTTTAAGTTCTGATGTTAAAGTTAAAGGAGAACTCACATATTTCTTTTGGCTCCGCCTCCCCACCTTCTTTGGGAACCAATAGTTGTCCAGTATCACCTCGTTCTCTGAAACGAAGCGTCCGTTTCCGGGGACGACGGGATAAAGGCTGGTGGAGGAAGACACAGAGATCAGAGAGAAACACGACCTGCAGAGAGCCGGTGGGGATTTATCTTTCTCTTTATCTTACAGCTGCTCATGCAGACCGTCACATGTTATTATATCACGTCATGGTAACAGACATGACAGAACTCCACGTGGAGATTACAGATGCTGACTGGAATGATGCTCCTGCAGGAGAACACGGCAACTGTGGCAGATTATGGGGAGTCGGCTTCGGGTGTCCATGAAATCATGGCACTGATCTGTGACTCATGGACACGATGAATCAACACTCTGTTATTTGGACGGAAGGTTTCAGGTAAGAACTCATCCCGACACCATGAGGATCTCCATCTGTTCTGTTGCATCACATGATGTTGTGAAAGCTCCCTGTTACTGTGTGTGTGTGTGTGTGTGTGTGTGTGTATCATGTCGGCTGATGTCCAGATTACTGTAGGCTGCCGCACCAGCTCATACAATCCAATCTGCCTTCATGTGACTTCATTAAACATTACTGAACAAACAATACTCAGTGTGCACTCCTGAGCCTCACTCTTATTAAGCCTCTAATTTCATTTAATCTACCAGTATATTCCATGTAGTTATTTGGATTTTTTTACTTAAAAAAAGTTTTTTTCTTCAAATTCAGATTAAAAAATACAAACTAAACTATATTTAATAGAAATTTTAAACATTTTAAAGACGTGGCACCTTAAAGTGACCCCAGCTGTGCTGAGAGGTGAGTAACAACACCCACAAACACATTTTATTTGGATTAGTGAGTCATTCTGACTCCTCCCACATCCGGTGTGACACTGCTTCACTACTCGGAGCACGTCGCATGGGTTCATGTTTTTCTACAGAAACACTGTCGTTACTGAATCTGTCAAAAGTCCAAAAACAATAATAAATGTTTTCTGACTTTACGAGTTGATTCTGACACGAGGCGCCCAGACGTGACAGCGTTGATCCATCAGGTTTGGATCAGAACCTCCCAGGATCGGCCGTCCATACTGACCCACCTGAAAAGGCGTGTCACATGACCTCGTGCACTGGGCATGTGTGACCCGGTGTAAACAGGAAGCGTTTAACTGAACAACAGCTGCCAGCAAAGACAATAGGGTCAGTAACGGCTGGTGAGGCTGATAAGAGCCAATCAGGAGAGACCGTGTGTGTCTGCGTTATCGTTTCCAAAGGTCTGTCGTCCAGACTACAACGCCACCGGGGAGTTTTCAAAATAAAACAGGTCCAGCAGAGTTTCCAAAAGTCTCAGCAAATGAGACGCTTTTTTAAAAGTAAAATGTAGACGAAGCGTCGGAGTTCACATCAGCCAGGGAAGGAACCGCCGTCATGATGTTACAATCAGCAGCAGGAAGTGAACTTCCTCTGCGGCCTTCTGGAGTCATGCTTTCTACTGTGGATGTCACCAGATCAAGAGCTCATGGAACACAAACACTGAACTCACTTCCTCTCTGCAGGTTTTACTCTTGTCCAGTTGCTGCTCACCAGATTATTTCTTGACCTCGTCTACACTGACGCTCCTGCAGCGTCGCTCTGCTTTAATCTTTCATCTTAATCTGAGGCAAGTCTCAGTTTGTCGCTCAATAACAAACCGAAGGAGTTCTTTTGTTGTTCTTGTGCTTCAGGAAATCTCCTTGCGATAGCATTTCCTTCAAGGCCGATAATGAGTCTCGTTAAGAGAGGTTAACGCAGCAGAGTTCTATCAACCACAACGGACCAAGAAACAAACAGAGGCTTCTTCCTGTTTACTGCACCATCAACGTCTCCCTGAGCTTCTCCCGCCAGACATAGGAGCTGATGTCACATAGTTTCTGAATGAGTCATTTTAAGTCCTAGAGCCTCTCTTTGGTTCCCATGATGCATTTATTCACTTAGGTCGAAATAAATCCTCCTTTATCACCAGGTGGAGGTCTGTACAGAGAGTTTCCTACTTCTGATTATAAAACTGATTCGTTTGGTTTGTCTATCTCCCTTCAATTGAAGGTGGTGCCCCAGTTTTCAACCACTGCAAATTTAGATTGTGTGGAAAGTGTAGAAGCGTAGGATCCACTACGCTCTTGTTTTCTGTTTTTTGTGTGTTTAAAAATTGATTTAAAACTTGTTTAAAAAGATCATGTAGACACTGGTTCGTTTTCAGGGTCATAAAAGGTCAAATCCGCCTCTTCCTCAGACGTCAGCTCACCGTAACGTCTCCTTTATGACGGCCTTCAGGTAGGGCATCCTGCTCAGGTCGTCCGTGGTCGGCTCCCGTCTGTCGGGACACACGGCGTTCACCTCCCCGTACAGTCGATCCTGAGCCCGCCGGTCCCGCGCCAAGTGGTACAACGTCCACGACAAGGTGTTGGACGTCTGAGAGGAGGAGGGAGGAGAACGAGAGGAAGGAAAGGACGGAGAAATCAGAATAACCCTTGACTCATAAACCTTGACTGTTCTCTGAAGATAATCCCTCTTACATGTAATTAGACAGAATCAAAACCTGCTTAGAAGCAGGTTTTGATTCTGTCACGTCTTCACACTTTAAAATGTCAAAGACTAAAACAAACACTGAAGAGAGTCAGCGTGCAGTCGGAAAATAATTCTCACTCCTCAGTAAAATACACAATGAAAGAGGGCTCCTTCCTGTTCTGGTGAAGACACGTAGATGTAGCTGTTACATGTAGATGTAGTACGTGTTCAGAGACTGTTAACATCTCTCTTCTTACCACAGAATACACACACACACACACACACACACACACACAATCTTTTTTTATCAAACAGTTTTAAGGTTAAGAAGTTTGTGTCAAAATGTTTGAATAACAAGAAACGTGTAATGTTTCACTGACATTAACTGACACAATAAAGTATTTTATTTTAAAAAGGAGAAAATATGTTCATAAGGTTTTTGTAAAAACTCTTTTCTTCGTCTGTGTGTGTTAAACTGGTGTCATGGTGTTGGTGTAGTAAGGAAGTGGGACACAGAGAGGAGGAAACAGAGGAGGAAAACAGAGGAGGAAACAGGAGGAAACAGAGGAGGAAACAGAGGAGGAAACAGGGGGAAACAGAGGAGGAAACAGGAGGAAACAGAGGAGGAAACAGGAGGAAACAGGAGGAAACATGGAGCCTATCTTTAACACAGAGGAGGTTGTTGTACTGTGTCATGTTTAAAGCGACATGCTCGGTTTGTAATCAGCATATTGGAACATTAAAACTCATCTGAACTCTTCCCAACCTGAGGCATCTGAACAGCAACACAAACAGCAAAGCAAACCTGCAGCCTCGAAACACGCAAATATTTCAAAGATTAAACATAATCTAAAAACAAAAACACACAAAACCATCAGATTTCTATGCCATCAGTGCAATTCATCGTTCATTTCCATCTCTGCTGTAATCCAAGAAGCAATTGACTCTGATACAATGATCGACCATCCGGGTCAGACACCAACGACTCAGCATCCTCACAACGAAGCCCCTCTCACTCCCATTTACACGCAGTATTCCGGGTTTTACCCCCGGTTTCACAACCGTGTTTCACAGCAGGTGGTGTGTGTGTGCGCGTGCGTGGTGCGTGTTATCTAGACAAAAGAGACGCAGCGTGCGCGTCAATCGGTCCATCACCGTCATCCCGGGCAGGTTGACCGCGCCTCGGCTTCGTTACATGCACGGTAAAAGGAGCCTCCAGAAACCAAAACACCGACATTTCTCAACGCTGCCGTCCCCGAACTTGGTGTGCTTCCGTCGGTGGTGGAGCTCCTCTCTCCCCGGCATGTCCTGCAGGGCGGCTGTGATCCTCTGACCTCCTCAGTCCTCCATGGGGGGCTGAAAAAGGAGGGACACATGGAGCCGGGCTCAAATGAAGAATAACCACGGGTTCAATTCCGCATGGAGCAGGAAGTGTGTGTGTGTTGTGTGTGTGTGTGTTTGTGTGTGGTGTGTGGTGAATGTGAGCATTTTTTTTAGTCGTTATGGAGGTTGGGGGGAGGATTGACCATTTTCTCTCGTTTGATTTTTGCTGTTTTTGTTACTTTTTGTTACTCGGTCGGAGGTGAGAGTGGCTCTCTGCGTAGTGCTCGGGACCGTGCTGCTGCAAGAAGTAACGAGTCGGACTCGTTAAGTGCAAAATTGCATTCACATCAACTGGTGTTGTTGTCCCCAGCGCCGCTGCCAGGCCGGAGACCTTAAACACACTCCTGACACATGACGGTATTACAGTTAAGAACCAAATTTCATTTAATTCTTACTTTCACCCCATTTTTAAATATTTCTAAATGTTTATTGTAATCAGTATTTCATATACAAATATAATTCAGTTTAAATTTTACCACTTTGAGCTACTTTATTTTATTTGCATTTTATTCTACTTTATTTATTTACTTGAACAGTCACCAGCACAACTGTGAAAAACTCCCATTAAAAGCATTTAAAACCCTACATTTAGTAAAAGGGCTTATTAACGCCTTAAAAGTAGATGCCTACTCATCTTAAGTCGGTGGTTTCCAACGTGGGGCTCGGGCCCCTCCACAGGGTCACCAGATAACTGTTGAGGGTGGCCGTGTGATAGATTCTCTCTCTGATGTTCGCCGTCGCTGGTGCCTCCAGGTGTTTTATGCAGAGCGGAAAACTGCGTTTTCGAAATCTTTTACGAGGTTTAGTTTATGCTCGTAAATATAGTGGAGTCAAAAGTAACACATATTTTCCTGTTGTGGACATTGAGTATAAGTGGCATAACATGGAAATATCACGTAAAATACTCAAAATCTTCAAAATTATCTTAGAATACAGTACTGAATAAATTTACTAACTTAAGAGTATTAAAAATGAGACTTATTTACTATTAAAATGTCACTATACATGAATTTCATCAGTATTAAAAATGAAATTAATCATAATATATAATAAGATCAGACTTTAGGATCTGGGAGCATTAGCTCCATAGATTAAATGTAGGCCAGGTGCCAAAATCACTGTTGTTACCTGTTGCAGATGAAAAAAAGTCACTTGGATGGGAGTTTTTTTTTGGCAGTGGGGGCGGCAGCAGAGCCAGAGGTCAGGGCCAAGACGGAGTGAGAGCAAGGAAGTGGAGTTATTTACCCTTTCAAAAAACAGACTGAACTCAATTCTGGATTTGACATGTGTGTTGTGAATACGTTTGTCTTGTCTTTACTGTTGCATCTAAAGGTCCAGCAGGATTCACAGTCATTACAACATTGCTGCAGCTGGACCACAATCATCACAGCTGTCCTGAGAGGCTGGATTATCAGCTGGCAACTGCCCTGGACACCTAAGAAAAGCTTGTCTGGAAAAGGGCCAAAATCTAGAAAAAAAACACTGAAAATGTACATTTATTTTATTCATCTTAATTTATATTTGTTCAGCATTAAACATATTTCAAGAGCTCTCCTACATAATAACCATATATTGGTAGAAATTTTGAATTCATATGTTAGAAAAAACGGACATTGGCAGGACATTAAAGTGATTTATCAAATATTTCAGTCACACTTTTGTTACGAAACATGAGGAGATTAACATATTTTAATAGTTTGGTTTTTTTTGTACACCTTAAAGAGTGAAAGCTAAAGTTAAATCAACAGTTTTTGGTGTTAATGGAGGGATGTTTGCAGTTTTAGCTGCTGGTTCAACTTTTACCTGACTCCAGTTCAGATGTAACATTTTTCCCACGCCCTGGACTTGTGTCCTTTCCTGTTTCCTGGGTTCTGCTTTCTTTTCCTTCCTCTCTCTAAAAACTAGATTTTATGTTCAATGTGAAACAGAAACTTCTGCTGAACGTGACTGATTCATGAGGTTTATTTTCAATAAAGTGAATAAGCAAGAAAATTATGTCTCCTTATTAAAGGTATTAAAAGTTAAAACAGGCTCGCATTCACTCACTGTAAGAAGGGGGCAGTTGTGGACCCTGTGTCCTCTGACACTTTTTGCCCTGGAAACATAGCCTTGTTCACCTCAGACAGATTTCACATGGGTTTTTGTGAAATTCAAAGTGGTAAAAAAACATGTTTGTGCAAAGTGCACGGAGTCAGCAAGTTCTCATCTACAATGTGCAGGGACACACACACACACAGCACCACACGCCACACACAGCAGCAGAGCCATCGATCACACGCACACCACGCACACACAGCACACGCACACACACACACGCACAACTGCATGTATGCAGGCTTGCTTACTCTACAAACATTGCAGTAAATATGATTATTTACCTTATTTAAGTTCAAAAGTTCAACAATCAACTAAAAAAAGTGCTGAGAAAAAAAACTGGGTTGGTGTGTGTTGTGTGTGTGTGTCTGTGGTGTGTGTGGTGTGGTGTGTGTCGTGTGTGTGTGGTGTGTTGGGTTGTCCGTGAAGCCAGCCAACATCATTATCTGAGGGAACCAGAACCTCCACTCCTCGTCTTGGGTCTTGAAACATCGGAAAGATTAAAAACTAAATCACGTCAACTGCAGTGAAAAGAAAACTGTAAAACTTCAGAAGCTGCTTTTATTCAACAGTTTGCATAAGAAATTTAATATTTTAGATTCTCTACTACTGATCTAAAAGTCTATTCATTTATCACTTGAGCAAGTTTAGGAAGGGAAATAATTTTTGTCATTGTCAAATTTTCAGCAATTTGTGTTTTGTCTGATAGTTACACTGTGGTGTTATTGGTGCATATAATAACAACAGGTGTGTTAAACACTGCTGCAGGTGGACAAACAAACACCAGACATCTTCATCCTCTCTTTACACCTGATGCTCAGTGTTTAAATGAGTGATTTGATCGTGCTGACATCTGCAGATAAAACACTTCAGCTCGAGTCTTCTCGCTTCAACACCTCCACAATTAAAAAGAGCAGAACGGTTTAGTCTGAGGTCAGGCTGTGATTGGCTGCTGCCTGGGGGAGAAGTCTTAGTGTCAGCACCTGCGCTGCCCTCATCAGGCTCTGGGCAGAAGCGAGGTTGATGGGCTTCGAAGGGATCATCAGGATTCGGGTTTTCGGCTCCACAGCCGGGGCGCCGTCCTCCGGCTGGACGTCGTAGTGCTGCATCAGCTGCAGGGCGACACATGCACTGATGAGAGGCTCGTTTCCTCAGCGAGTTCATTACTGAAATTTAACGTTAGTCTGTAATTCAACAGCAAGATTTTTAGAGCGTGGTTTGTCTCTCACCTGCACAGAGCGAAGTACATCTCCATCTCCGCCACGCTCTTCCCCACGCAGGCTCGCACGCCGACGCCGAACGGGATGAAGCTGTACGGGTGGTGCTGGTAGAAGCCGGGGTCGGTTCTGGCCGTCTCGCGGAGCCAACGCTCCGGGATGAAGCTCTCTGCGTCGACAAACTCTGCCTCATCGTGACAGACGGCGTAA